ACTCGGTGCACGTGCTGATAGCGGGGGGACACCCTGTAGGAGAACGGCTCCACACACTGCTAGGTTTCATGATAGATTCCCTTTGTCCGCCATCTTGAAGCGGTTTCCTCTGCCTGTCCGAGGAGAGCGCGTTGCTGAGGCGAGGATCTGCTTTATCCGCCCTGTCAGAGGAGAGCGCGTTGCTGAGGTGCGGATCTGCGGTACTCGCCCTGTCTGAGGAGAGCACGTTGCTGAGGTGCGGATCTGCGGTACTCGGCCTGTCCGAGGAGAGCGCGTTGCTGAGGCGCGGATCTGCGACACCCGGCCTGTCTGAGGAGAGCACGTTGCTGAGGTGCGGATCTGCGGTACTCGGCCTGTCCGAGGAGAGCGCGTTGCTGAGGCGCAGATCTGCAGTATCCGGCCTGTCTGAGGAGGGCGCGTTGCTGCGGTACTCGGCCTGTCCGAGGAGAGCGCGTTGCTGAGGCGCAGATCTGCAGTATCCGGCCTGTCTGAGGAGGGCGCGTTGCTGCGGTACTCGGCCTGTCCGAGGAGAGCGCGTTGCTGAGGCGCAGATCTGCAGTATCCGGCCTGTCTGAGGAGGGCGCGTTGCTGCGGTACTCGGCCTGTCCGAGGAGAGCGCGTTGCTGAGGCGCGGGTCTGCGGTACCCGGCCTGTCCGAGGAGAGCACATTATAGAGGCGCGGATCTGCGGTATTCGACCTGTCTGAGGAGAGCACGTTGCTGAGGCGCAGATCTGCAGTATCCGGCCTGTCTGAGGAGGGCGCGTTGCTGCGGTACTCGGCCTGTCCGAGGAGAGCGCGTTGCTGAGGTGCAGATCTGCGGTATCAGGCCTGTCTGAGGAGAGCGCGTTGCTGAGGCGCAGATCTGCGGTATCCGGCTTGTCTGAGGAGAGCGCGTTGCTGAGGCGCGGATCTGCGGTACTCGGCCTGTCTGAGGAGAGTACGTTGCTGAGGCGCGGTACTCGGCCTGTCTGAGGAGAGTACGTTGCTGAGGCGCGGTACTCGGCCTGTCTGAGGAGAGTACGTTGCTGAGGCGCGGTACTCGGCCTGTCTGAGGAGAGTACGTTGCTGAGGCGCGGTACTCGGCCTGTCTGAGGAGAGTACGTTGCTGAGGCGCGGTACTCGGCCTGTCTGAGGAGAGTACGTTGCTGAGGCGCGGTACTCGGCCTGTCTGAGGAGAGTACGTTGCTGAGGCGCGGTACTCGGCCTGTCTGAGGAGAGTACGTTGCTGAGGCGCGGTACTCGGCCTGTCTGAGGAGAGTACGTTGCTGAGGCGCGGTACTCGGCCTGTCTGAGGAGAGTACGTTGCTGAGGCGCGGTACTCGGCCTGTCTGAGGAGAGTACGTTGCTGAGGCGCGGTACTCGGCCTGTCTGAGGAGAGTACGTTGCTGAGGCGCGGTACTCGGCCTGTCTGAGGAGAGTACGTTGCTGAGGCGCGGTACTCGGCCTGTCTGAGGAGAGTACGTTGCTGAGGCGCGGTACTCGGCCTGTCTGAGGAGAGTACGTTGCTGAGGCGCGGTACTCGGCCTGTCTGAGGAGAGTACGTTGCTGAGGCGCGGTACTCGGCCTGTCTGAGGAGAGTACGTTGCTGAGGCGCGGTACTCGGCCTGTCTGAGGAGAGTACGTTGCTGAGGCGCGGTACTCGGCCTGTCTGAGGAGAGTACGTTGCTGAGGCGCGGTACTCGGCCTGTCTGAGGAGAGTACGTTGCTGAGGCGCGGTACTCGGCCTGTCTGAGGAGAGTACGTTGCTGAGGCGCGGTACTCGGCCTGTCTGAGGAGAGTACGTTGCTGAGGCGCGGTACTCGGCCTGTCTGAGGAGAGTACGTTGCTGAGGCGCGGTACTCGGCCTGTCTGAGGAGAGTACGTTGCTGAGGCGCGGTACTCGGCCTGTCTGAGGAGAGTACGTTGCTGAGGCGCGGTACTCGGCCTGTCTGAGGAGAGTACGTTGCTGAGGCGCGGTACTCGGCCTGTCTGAGGAGAGTACGTTGCTGAGGCGCGGTACTCGGCCTGTCTGAGGAGAGTACGTTGCTGAGGCGCGGTACTCGGCCTGTCTGAGGAGAGTACGTTGCTGAGGCGCGGTACTCGGCCTGTCTGAGGAGAGTACGTTGCTGAGGCGCGGTACTCGGCCTGTCTGAGGAGAGTACGTTGCTGAGGCGCGGTACTCGGCCTGTCTGAGGAGAGTACGTTGCTGAGGCGCGGTACTC